TGTGTATTGTCCGAGTCAGGGTCCTTTTTATTTTACTGTAACTTTGGAAGTTGTGTTACCAATGCTTACTGTTTATTTGATATCAATTTGGTAATGCAATTAATAAAAACAACAAGGTTTGGGTTCGTTCTTCAGATGACTGTGACGTTAACGTGTAAGCTCAATAATGAACTCCAGCTCAACCAACCATATTGTAATATCTAAGTAATCATCTTGAAATATGACATTAATGATTGTAATATACACATCTTATTGTGAGGTTGATTTCACATACACTACTTCGACGTTAGCTTGTCTACATACTTGACCATAGCCAATTTAAATGAACCTTAGCGATGCATACAGTTCCTACCTACATAATAAAATATCTCTAAGTTACAAGGATGACCTTATTTTATCAACCTCAAACAGAAGCCGTTTGTTCAACAATATTATCCCACTTAACGCTTAACACTTGTCTATTTCGTTTTAACCTTTATTTATACAGTCTATGATTTTAACTTGGAGGCTACGATTAGCATCGTTAGCACCGATGTAGCTACCACTAGCTTACATGCTAACCCAAGCCTTACCATTAATTACGTAGCTGATTAAAATCATTAACATATAAATAAAGCACTCAAATTTCACTTACCGCAAAACCGCATTCATGCACCGTCTGTTTCAACCGCAGAGCGAGTCACAATAGTCCGATATATAAGCATGAAGAACAAACAACCACGGCCGGCTTCAAGTTGTGTTTCCTGGATGAGCTGAGCAGGCAGAGTCCCTGTAGCTAGCTTCACGGAGCAGCTAGCAGAGAGACAAGAAGCTAACAGCAGCAGTCACTTGACAGAGCCGTCACTCAATGTGACCACGCCCTAATTTATGCACAAACTTTAAGACCTAATATAAATAAAACGGTCGCGTTAGAAAACAATTCACTCACAGATTCATAATCATGAAGGTGGAATCTAACTATATCGATAATAATGTGTATTGCAGCCAGGGGTAGAAACATGTTTTTTTTCTGATGTAAAATTGGGCATTTTAACATGGGGGTCTATGGAAATTGCTCCTTTCTGCAGCCATCGCCTATCGGCCAATATATGAACTCTAGTGTGTGGCACTTCCGTATTGGCGTCCCGGCTCTACCCCACAGTTTGCCGCTTGGGTATTAACTGACATGTTTACTTTATGTCGTAGAACAAAATGGGACAATTTTGTAAGCTTGACTACAGACCTTATTTCAGGCATCTAATCAGAGAATATGGATTCCGGAAGTGCTAAAATGCTAAATACTTCACCACTCTATAGGTGTTTTGGATTAATGGGGCATCGGAACGATGTTATTGCACTGGACAGGAATGGTCATACCACATAATCAGCTTTATATTCTGCATTCCACTGTTTTCTGTTGATGGCATCACTTACAGATTTATCTTTATATTTAACTGCTAACAAGGTTTTAAGTACCTGATTTGTTAGTTAGTGATGTACACACTTTAGCGCTAACAGCTTTGAAAGCTCTGTTTTGAAACTACATTTACCATCAGTAACTCAGGACACAAAGGTCAAACTGGTTGAGATTCATGCACTAAAGCACAGGAAAATGTGTGAAATGGACTTAAATCGTCCTGGCTCTCAGAGTCATCTAAACAGAAGCATCCTGGGATTTCTGGTTGAAATGTTTCAGCCCAAAACTAGACCCTCATGTGACAACCTATGCATCATTGCAAGGTGACTTTGCCTCCCCGGATCTGATTGCTGGTCAGTTCTAACCATTAATGTGTGGAATGAAAAAGACGATATCTCGCGTTCTGCTGCATTCATTCTGATTCTCTTTAAATTGTCCATCCTGAGTCCGACAGTGGGTGGAATGCTACATATTTACAATCCTTCTTTAAAGGTGGGGTATGTAATTTATTTCAGAAACACTTTTTGTTATATTCCATGGAATGCTCTTAACATCCTGATAGCAATGAATATATTAAATGCTTTGACAATAAATACATACAAAAATGTCATCTGCGGAAGCCGGAGTACTGTAAAAAGCACGACCAATCATCTGAGCCGGCCCGGCTAAAATAACTGGATGGCCTACCTGCCTGTCAGCCTTCCATCTGTGCACAAACTTATCTCGTGCCCTCATTGGTCATGTGCGCGTTTGTATGTGGAGCAGGGGCTCTGTAAGGAAGTCTGAAGGAAGAGGCAGATTTTTTCCAGCTGTGTATTTTCAAATTCTAGTGCACTCGAGCTGGTTTCTCCAAAATTACCTACCCCACCTTTAACTGTGGGAACATACCTTTTATTTTTTACAAACATAAGACAGTGATGAGTTTATTGAAATGAAGGCAAAACACCCACCAACAGCCGGTACTTGTGGCCACAGGCTCCACTGACTGCAGAACCTCCAGACTGGATTTAAGCTTCTTCTGCTGTTGTGTTTCTGATAAGCATAAACTGTTAATGAGTGTCACCTACCTTAAAGGGAAACTGAACATGTGGCAGGCATTTATCTGGAGTTGTATGAAGCTGCTGACACATTTCTCTTTACATCTGGATGCTGAGGTGCTGGCAGATTTTGAGGCTAAACTTCACACATGTTAAATCGTTGGCACCAAAGAGTGTTCATCTTTGATTTTCCCTCTCAGTGCTGTGCCGTTTCTGCAAAAATAGGCATTTACTTGCATGTACTGTTAACTGTGATGGTTATTCTCGCGTCCAGGAAAGAGAAGCTTAAAAAGGAGACTAAATGGAGTCTCTGAGATGTTTTCAAATTGGTACTTTAATTAATAAAAAGCGCGGTAAAGTCACAAACAGGATATTTGTCCGGTAGGAGAGAAAGTCTGCAGCTTCCTCTCCAGCTGCTGGCCGTGCAGAAGAGAGCATACAAGCATTCGTCCTTCCCGCTTGCTGGCTGTTCGCTCCTCCTCTCTGTGAGCTGTAGTGACGTAAGGGACTTCCCCCTCTCGTTCGTCTGTGTCCGATATCGCGTTAAACAGAGGATTTCGACATTTTACATTCATTGCTTACTTCCACATGCCTTTTCTCCTCCTTATCTCTTTCATGACTTTATATGTAATACATGTTAACGGCGTCAATAGCCACTTTAATGATACTAATGGACGATAGTCCCGGATGTCATCATGAAGGATTTTCAGAATAAAAGCTTAACAACTGGACGCACAAGAACTTCTGGTTTTTCAGTATAAAACAGCATTTAAACTGACGGTATGTTTAGGGTACATTATGCTATCAAAACATTGATTTTAATTTCTAACAGTACACAAGCTAATGCACATCAACACCGCATGCCCTGCCAAGCGTGGCAGCTTCTTAAATGGAAAATGGATTGGCATCACAATGTTTGTTGTGCTGGAAATGACGTTGTAAGTCGTGTGAGTATAACAGACTGTGTGATCAGGCATTGTCATTGTTGACAGTCATCATGAAAATTGCACTCAGGAATTATCAATGTGTGGGTATGTGTTGACTAAATTCCCAAAGGAAAACATAGGTGACACCAACACAATCTCACAGTCTGCGTACAAATGACACGACTTTGCAAAGGCGTGCAATAGATACGCATAAGTCCGTTTTTGCGTGTATATGATACGCTGATATTACACCTCAAACATTAAAACAAAGAGCTCTGTGGCTTCAGACTTGATCACCGTTCCAATGACAGTTTTAATGTTTGCGGTGCAATAAACGACACAGCAGCTTATTGGGTTAGGGTTAAATAAATGGCAAAGATATGTAGAAAATAAACGCATTAAAGATACGTTCATAACAAACGTAACGTGGGAGTATCATATGCACGCAAAATCGGACTTCTGCGTATCTATTGCACGCCTTTACAAAGTCGTGTCATTTGTATGCAGACTGAAGAGAGTGGGCTGGTGACACAGTCCAATAATCAGTGTTGAGTGTAACAGAGTTACAGTAATGTATTGGTGTATATGGTGTTTTGTTTTTAAAGAATTCACTAACATCGCGAGACATTCCGACACCAAAAAATGGTGCCGGTAGATTAGTAAACCTGGTTTTAACGTAATCAGTCAGGCTGATCTTGATGAGCCTGAAGGGTGTTCTTTTCCCCATGATGACCAAGTCGCTGCACATTATCCCGCTTATTACATGGCCAGATACTAAACAAACTAAGGAATCCACTCCCAATATTAATTGAAATTATTTTATTGACTTAAAAAAACACTATATTCCACCGCGCACCAACGGCAGCACTGTCCAACTCTGTTAACAGTTTCTGATCCACTAACAAGTCCTTAAACACTGCAGAGCCCATACCGTGTTACTGTTAGTGTTCACTTCCTCTCTGCCTTCTTCTGTTCATTTATCTGACGTCTAACAGGTTCAGCCCTGAGCCTGTTTTTCAGGACTCAGGCTCAAAAATGACATTCCCAGAACAAATGACCATATCTTCCCTTCTAAAAGGGTTAAATTCATAATATTTTTTCTCAAAGCAATGATAAACCTGTGAGTTGGATGTAGAAAAGTCAGAATCAATATAGCATTTTTTTATTTTAAAGTCAATTCAGATTGAACATGGTAAAAAAAGAAGGTAAAAGACGGAGCGTCTTTTACCCTCTTTTACTTTCTCTTTCTTGATCCTCCTTAGCAACGGAATTGACCAATCAGAATCGATTATTCAACTAAGCTTTGTAATACAAGTTGCCTTAAGGGCCTACACAGTTGCTGCACTAAACTACATTTGAGCATTTAAAATACCTAACCATTATTTTTGTGGTTATTTTGGTGAAAGTAACTCAAAAGTAATATAAAAGTAGTGTAACTCATTACATTTCAGAGACAGTAATATTGTAATGTAACTTATTACTTAAAAAAGACAGTAATAAGTAATATGTAATGTATTACATTTTGGAAGTAACACTGCCAATAATACAGTGCTAGTTAAATCATAATCAAGGTTCTGAAAATAATGTCATATTTATCAGTAGCGGGCTGTTTATTTCACACCTAGGCCTTCAGTACCCAGATAGCAAAAGATATTAATTCAACATTGGATTTTGGTTAGATTGGTTATTTTTGGTTGAGGTTGAAAAATCAATGTTGATTCGATGTGTTTTTACAAATACCATTTCAACGTTTGAAAAAATGTTGTTGAATCAATGTAATATAGATGCCGGTTTTTCAACGTTGAAATTCCCTACATTGAATTGACATTGTTTCAACGTGTGGCGCTATCCCCTCTCGGGCGAGATCATGATCCAGCGTCGGAGGCGGGGTCTGGTTCTTTCCTATGAGAGCTGCTGTGCATGAAGACAAAATGGCCCAAGTTTTGAGAGAGCGAAACGTCACAGATTACCCGTCATGCCTGTTGCACATTGCACTTAATCTTGAAAGCACGTTGGTCACGTGAAAGAGCGTACACCTCAGGGTGTGGAGGAAGGCAGGCAGTTCAGTTGCCGCCAAGCCGCCTGAAGAGAAGAGACAGATATCACAAATCGGTAAGAAATGTAACGTGACCGTTGTGCATGCCTACTCTATATGTTCACCTCAGTTACACCCTGTTATGTTTTTTTAGGCTATTCAGAGCGCAAAAGTGGGAACTAATTACTTATAATAATATATATCATCAACGAATTTAACGTCGTTCATCCCATGACGCAGTTGATATTTTATTGCCCTGACTAGCACCTAGCTAACGCAGCGCTAGCTAACATAATCTGACATTAAACTCTACCATCCTACAGAAATTACATAAAGTGTCCACTGATGCAGTCAAGCTAAAGCATTATTTAGGATATTTGGGTGAAATTGTGCATATTTTTTGTTATAATATAGCCTATATCATACATTAATTAAACAGTTCATCGCATGACGCAGTTGATATTTTCTTGCCCTGGCTAGCACCTAGCTAACGCAGCAGATACACTAGCTAACACAATCTGACATTAAACTCTACCATCCTACTAGGGATGCCAGCGATTAATCTATTATTCGTTACAGTCTCCATAATCGAAGATTATTTTAAAATTCGATTTTATTTATATATTTTTTTATTATTTATGTTTTTTTGTTTTTTTTCTGGCTTAGTTTCAACCAAAATATAGACTAATAATAGTAATAGTATTAATAATTGTAAATGGCCATTGGTCACAACACCAGTTTTGACTGTAAAACTTGGAGGAAGCCAGCAGCGCAGCCTGCGCAGACTGCTGCTGCAGCTTGCTACACACCGACCCCGCCGATTTTGATCATGGTCAGTTTCTGGCATCCCTACATCCTACAGAAATTACATCAAAGTTGGTCTGATACAGTCAAGCTAAAGCATCATATAGGATATTTGGGTAAAATGTATGTCCTAGGGGTCCTGGACTCCTGGTTGAAGACCCATGGAAGAAAACGTGTAATTCTAGGGAATTTCGTCAGTACAGTTATATTTGCATTGCACCAGGAGGCTGATATATATTTGTACTGTTAGTTTATGCATACTGATTTTTAATCTGCTTTGTTTTCCTCCATTTTCAGGATTATACTACAAGACGAGTCAAGGGGATCACTGCAATACACAAGGCCAAGTAAAGTAATTATAGCAGTGCCACCTCTCTTTACCTAAGATGGCTTCTTATTGGTCTAAAAGACGTAGAGTCATCAGAACTGTAAGGGACATGGAGAAAGATATCCTTAAGGAATACGAGGAAACTCTTTATAATAACAAGTCACATTTAGACCCCTGTGTGAATAGGGAACCACCCTTCAGAATCTCACACGTTTCCCAACTAGATACACCACTAGCTTCCCATGTACACATGGAAAATGATCATACTGATGGTAGTTTAGCTGGAGATGATGAAGTTGAATCAGATCATGTACAAATGGGAAATGATCATACTGATGGTAGTGTGGCTGGGAATGTTGAATCAGATTCTGACTCCGACAGCCATGACGAGCATCAGCCTAGTCAGGATCTGCTTATGAGGAGCCTAAGATATTGGGCAACATCCTACTCAATCAATCTGGTTGCTTTGTCTGCTCTGCTGTCCATCTTAAAGCTTTTTCACCCTATGCTCCCTAAGGATGGAAGAACTCTGCTTAGAACACAACATGATGTTGCAACCACTCAAATGCAAGGTGGCGAGTACTACCATTTTGGATTGGTGCAAGGGATACTTTCACGATTGAAATGTTTGAGTTTACCAGTGAGCCTCAGAACTCTTACTTTACAGTTCAACATAGATGGTCTCCCTCTCTTTAAGAGTTCAAGACTTCAATTCTGGCCTATACTTGCAATTCTGAAATGTGATTATACTAAGTCCCCATTTATTGTCGGTATCTTTTGTGCTTTAAGCAAACCCAAGTGTGTTGTTGAGTATCTGCAGCAATTTATTAGCGACCTTAAAAATGTACTGGCTAATGGCGTTGTTCATAATGGTAACCGATTGAAAGTACTGGTTTCCTCATTTGTGTGTGATGCTCCAGCCAGAGCCTACGTTAAGAATATCAAGTCACATAATGGCTATTCAGGGTGTGACAAGTGTGATCAACATGGTGTGTGGAGGAAGAAAATGACTTATCCTGAAACAAATGTCAGGCTCAGGACAGACTCAAGTTATTGTGATATGATTGATGAAGAACATCACTTGAAACAGACACTCAGTCCTTTAACAGGGACAGTAAAGATGGTTTCTTCATTCCCAATAGATTATATGCACCTCTGTTGTCTTGGTGTGATGAGAAAACTGTTGAATATGTGGTTAAAGGGCAATCTAGCCACTAGGCTTCCTTCACAAACTGTTAACAGTATATCAAGCAAACTGCTGGGGTTACATTCCCACACCCCTTGTGAATTCAATCGCAAGCCAAGGGGTTTGAATGAGCTGGATCGTTGGAAAGCTACAGAGCTCCGATCCTTCATACTGTACTGGGGCCCTGTAGTTCTGAAGGATTGCCTTCCCAGTGAGATTTATGACAACTTTATGTTGTTTTCAGTGGCCATGTATTTGTTTTTGTCTCCTGGAATTTCTGGCCAAAAGGTTGAATTAGCGCATAGATTGATGATTTCCTTTGTGGAACACTTTGGACAGTTGTATGGCAGGGATCAGATTGTGTTCAGTGTACACCAGCTTATACATTTAGCCGATGAATACAAACAATTTGGACCTTTAGATAATGTTTCAGGATTCCCTTTTGAGAATTATCTTGGCCAAATAAAGCATCTTTTACGCAAGCCACACCAACCTCTACAACAGGTGGTCAAAAGGTTGTCAGAACAGCCACGTTGTGAGGTTCCATTACCAACAGATGAACCAGTCTTACAGAAAATCCACACTGATGGTCCACTCCCTCAACATTTCGGTGTTGCTGTACAGTACACAAAGGTCTCCAGTAGTCGTTTTACCTTGTCTACAAAGCAGGGGGATAATTGTATTGAGGTGGGACATAGTATTGCAGTAGTGCAGAATATAGTCCAGGAAGAAGATGAGGTATATGTGATCTACAAAAGGTTCAGACACCAAGAATCATATTACACTTATCCCTGCGAGTCCTCATGCATAGGTACATACAAGGTTAGAGAGTTGTGTGACAATATCGGGGTTGGTAAACTTGGATGTATCAAACGTAAATGTGTTCTGTATCCAGAGTCAGAAGGAAATGGCCTCATAGCTATTCCAATAGCTCATATGCAGTAGCATACCGCTCATACTGCTGGGCGAGTAAATGACATCTTATGATTTATGAGCAGGTTTTTTTTTTAATCATTTACATTATTTCCTTTATTGTATACAGAATGGAAAGGGAGGTGGTGCTTTGGGCCGTTGTACTTTTTCCAAATGGCGGAGCTGCAACAGTTCTTGCCAGCTGGTTCAGTCTAAAGGAAGGTAAATTGTTATGGCCCCCAAAAAACATGTATTTGAAGGCCCTTAAAGAACACATGACGGCCCATAAAGGATGGACCACATATGCGAATGTCCGGCTCTTGATTACTTGTGGTAAGTAGTCACTGCATTACTATTGTCTATTTTCAAGTATATAGGTATCCACACGTTTTATGGATGGCAGTTTGAATGTGTGTGGTGCCATACCACATATGACATATGTGTCACAAGTGAGACTAGTCAGTAAAATGTCATCCTATTATTTTATGCTTTTTCTTTTACAGACTCATTGGAAAAGGCCAAACGATACGAAGAAAAGTATGTGAATACTGGATGTCCAACCACTGATCTGAGCTCTGAGGACGAAGCAGGTGCACGTGGGAAAAGAAGAGTAAGGTACAGTTGAATTCCTGTAGGAGGTCAGGTTCCATGTCTGGCCTGACTTTAACCCTTATCAAACAACGTCGCATTGATAAGAACCAGTATGCGTGCATAGGCTGGAACCAAAAGAACCCAACCGCTCATAAGATGCAATGGAAAAGTGGTCACAGCACTCCCAGTGTGGAGGAAGCAGGCTTAGGATGTTTACTTTGATCGCTCCCTCTTGAAATATATAATCCTTGGTTTCTGTGTAAACAATAAGTAAAAACCCCACCTCCAGTCCTGTGATAGACTAGTGTCATCTCTATGTGTACCTGTACGTCAAGCGGCCTCATTCTACAGAAATGGGCCATGGGGCAAATTAGTTCAATTAATGGGAATGTTGAATGTTTCATTTTTATTTTCCAGACCAAATCCTGTGTACATGGAGTCAGATGGGGAGTCAGAAACCAGCTGTGTGAAGAGAAGATTTGCCAAGCCACCTGATGTTCATTGGCCTACAGTGCTCCCAGAATCCAGCCAGTACCCCTCAGGACCAACCCCAAATGCAAGCAGTGGTATGTCATTACTTATTAAAATGGCAGGAACAATATGTAATTGCATGTGAGCTTTAATTTACAAGCATTTAGTTCCTCCAACAATACATTCAAACATCAGTCATGTGATATGTGTTCAAAAGTTACAGCATCCATTATTCCTGTCTTTTGTTCCCTTTTAGCCTCTGGAGGAAGCCACTCGGAGGATGTTCTGTCAATTCACCAGGCTGACAATGGTAAGTGAACCACTTCACACTAGGGATCGACCGATATGGCTTTTTCAAGGCCGATACCGATTATTAGTAATCAACGAGACCGATAACCGATATTTGGAACCGATATACATTTGCAGTAATATCAGAAAATCTTGGTCTCAAAATGTAGAATAACACAAACTCCAACACAACTTCTTTGAAATGCCTTTTTATGTTTGCTGAACTTTTCAACATCTTAAAACTGGTTTCCTCTCTGTACCCTGAGTAAAGTCAATGAAATAGAAATAAAATGAAAACTACTAAAACTTGTTCTGAACTTCTGATATTTGAGTCTCACTCATTTAGTAGTCCCAATTCAGCAGCACCAGATTGTGGTGCAGAAAGCAGAGTTGCTGCGAGGCTCCACTAGCAATCCCCCCCCTCACAGTTTATCCGCTGCGAGACGCTACCCTGTGTAACTGGGAAACTGATAGAATTGGATCGGGACATTGCTTGTGTACAGAGTGGTGACTGCAACCAGAGAAACGGCCGCATCAGATCCAAAGTTTTATCGGCAATTTGATTTAAAAAAAAAAAAAAAAAAAAAAGGCCGATAGCGATAATCTGTAAAATGCGGAATATCGGTCTGGATAATCGGTCGACCCCTACTTCACACTACTACCTCCGGGCGGACAGTATGTAAATGTGCTTTGTCCGAGTTACAGCATTCATAGTTCATGTTGTGTGTTCTCTCATTGTAGGCTTTTGTGGAAGCTATTTGGCGGAGTTGGACCAGTCAATGGACCACTGTAATGATGGTAAGAAAACTAATGGTGTAAAAGTCAGGCACATTCATGTGGCTGCCGATGACAATTTCAGGACACCGGAAATATGACCCAATGTTTCAGTCTCTCCGAAACGTTGGTCATATTTTCTGTATCCTGAATAAATTGTCATCGGCAGCCACTTGAGTGCACCCCTCGTTATTAAGTAGACTAACAGGCTATTATGTCTTTTATCTTTGGATCACAGGAATTATCAGCACCTTAGGTGGGAAACTATTCTTTAATTACTCACTCTGTAGTCAAGTGTGTTCATCCCTCAGGTCTCCTATATCTAAAGTTGGAAAGTAACTATATGGGGCTAGCTAGGTGCAATTGCTATATGGTGCTCATGGATAACAACTTTGATAGTGCTCATTTGCCTTATTTAGTTATTTCTCTCTTTTTCTAGGATTGCCAACATATAACTCCAGCCCCTACCACGCTATGCCATTAGAGAAAGCAAGGAATGGTATGTATTTCTCATCTTAAATGTTTTTTTTTTGTGGAAAATTCCCAAATTCATGTTCAATATAAAGAATGAATAGCAGCTCAGTGGCCTTGTGGTTAGTGTCCGCCCTGAGATTGGGAGGTTGTGAGTTTGATCGCCGACCGAGTCATACCAATGACTGTTAAAAATGGTACCCGATATCTCCCTGCTTGGCACTCAGTATCAAGGGTTGGATTGGGTTAAGTCCCTGCGACATACAGCATCATGTCCAGGGGGTGTACTTGTACATCATGCTGCGGAAACAGGATATCGGCTCCTATGGGCCAATGGTTCTCATGGCTTACTTATAAACAATTAATAATGGTGTCTTGTATTTTAGACGGCGGTGCCAGCTATGCACATGGCTCAAGATTAGCTGACTTCAGCGCACTGGGCTTGGCTCACCTGACCCCGCAGCACCCATCCCACCCCCCTTCAGCTCCAGAAACACCACGGGGGAGATTATATGGAGAGGAATCAAGCAGAGTGTTGAAAGGCAAGTATCATTTTCTGAGCAGGTTCTTAACCGTACTGATGCCTTCTGAATTGAGAAACCTATCCCTTGTGACTTTCCCATCTTTTCATGTTTTTTGTCATGGTGTTAAGGCTTAAAATGTAAGCACTTAAACCTGCACTATGTAACCTTTTTGTGATTACAATGTTATTTTGTCCAATCTGTATGGTAGTGTTAATACAATATAACTTAAAATTGGGGTGGTTGATTTTGGTCTCCCTGCTCTTCTATTGAGACATTTAGATCCTTTATCTAGGTGAGACATGACCTTGGTTTGACAAAAATTATGACTTTATGGTCAATTTCTCCCCCGAGCAAGCAGGCAGGCTCTATAAACTCAGTGGTAAATATGTCAGCAGTTGTGCTGGAGACCTGTGTTCAAATCCAGGGTAAATAGGAAAGTTACATAGTGCAGCTTTAATGGTTACTGTTGGCAAACACTTATCAGTGAGTTACTTAGTGTCATTCTAAATTATTGGAAATTAAAAATCTATCCTTGAAATGTAAATTAAAACCTTCATTTTTTTAATTTTCAAGACATTGCTGCCATGAGAACCACGAAGATGCTTACCGAGCTATGTATGGAGGTGAAGCAGATCTCACGTGACATTAACTTTATAAAGACGGAACTTGCTAAACTAAACATTCATGGAGCTGGACCAGAGTCACAAGAAGACAACTTCCCCATAATGCTTCCACTCACCAACGAGGAGAAGTTTGATGAGACTGAAGCTGCTTTGAGGGAGGAAGCAGTCCGTCGAAAGATGGTGAACAATTTTTACACAAAGCATTTTCTCTATAATCTGTCGAGGCTTCTAATATTTTCTGTATGCATTTGCAGGTATCCTGTGGATCCTTATAAGTTTTAAAAGTCTTACATTTCTTGTTTGAAATCTTAAGGGCTTATGTCTGGAATTGTAGGAGTGGATGCATTACATTTCTTTTTCACTTGGATGTGTGTTTGACAGAAATATTGTAAAAATACGCCTCGCGAATCACGATAATATTTTTCTTAATCAATATTTGACAATTTCTTAGGATTGCCAATTTGGTTGTTGGCATTGTTTGTCGATTAGTTTGGACACAGTAGTGGTCTTATTTCTTCCTTAGAGATAATACAAATGTGTTCAAATTCATTACATTTGTATTTATTTATAAATGAGAAGATGTCTATTTACATAGTACACTGTAGCACACTAATCATTTTCTCTCGTCTGTTAAGATTACCCGCCTGGCATTAGTCGGAGGGACCAACTCGGAAAATATGATCCGGCGAATGCTATCCGCTGCCATGACAAACAGTCTAGCCTGCATCTTCAACTGGGTGGGAAAGGGAGAGAAGAGGGCCTTCAAGGACACGCTGATAAAGGACTGCATGTTTGGTGAGCCTGCACCTCAAAATACTAGGTTTACTACTTTACAACAGATTTGGCAAATATTGAATTTAATTCATAAGTCTTTTACATTTCTTTCTCAAGTTGATAAGAATGGATGCAAAATGCATCCATTCTTATCCTTATCTTCATATAAGTGGTCCTCATTAATGCTCATAATAGGATGGCAGCATTTCTGTCTACTCGCTCTGCATCTCAAAGGTGGGCTGTGGACATTTCAGAAACCTGCCTACCAGTGACATTATTCCTAGCTAATTGGAAATGACCATTGATGATGTCACTGATGGGCACGTTTCTGAACTGTCCACTACCGTCCTCTGAGACACAGAGCGAGTAGACAGAAATGAGTAATAGTGTGAATCAATTATATGAAGATGTGGTTGATGGGTGAATTGCTCAATTAAGGCCGCCTGAAAACCTAGTACACTAAACAGTACACACTGGAACGCATCCATTGCAGCTTTCTTCTTCTTATTATTTCAATAAACAAAAAATGTAACTTCTTTTTTTTCAGCTGCTGCTCGTCAATTTGACCGCAGGCTGACGGAATTGACATTCAGGGTTGGAGTGCAGAAGTGGCTACGTTACGCACCAGAGAGGAATGGCGGTGTACCAAGGAAAAAATAGTTAAACAGACATTGTTTAAAGTTGGGGTGTTTTCGTTCATGTTGAACTGGGGTCTTATAGATCTGAGTTTATAGTTAAGACTGCCTTTCCACCGAGTATGACAACCCTGTTTGCAGTTGCCAGGTTTTTATGTCATCTGGAGTTTCAGAGCAAATATAATTTGAACTACAGTTGATGGCCAGATCATTGTCTCTAAGGAGCTTCCTCCACTTAAAGGTCCCATGTCATGCTTTCCCGGTTATTACCCGTCCCCTTGTTGTTATGTAGCTTTTTCTGCATGTAAATGGTCTGCAGAGTCAGAAACCCTCAAAGTACACCCTGTAGCGAGTAAAACTCTAACACAGAAAAGACCTGTCTGTGCTGCCCCAGAACTTCTTCCTCAGTAAAGTGACGTAACGGGCATAGTGGCGTAACACACACACTCTCACTCAGCCTTATCTTTTCTCAGCTGCGGCTCCGTGGATTTACACACACAGCCTGGCTGTGAGTGTGTGTCTGTGTGCTCAGGCTGAGTTCCTGTGTCTCGCTGATGTACAGCTGTAACGGTGGTGAACCTCAGTGATTATGTGTTACAATGGTGTTAGCAACCAGAAAATGACACCAGTAATGACAAACTGATGAGAATGCTGCGTGGGGTCTGGGTACCGTGTTGGCGGGATGTTGCGGGGCTCGCTGCTCGGCTCGAGGAGCAGACAGTGTGAGCTGGATTACTGGTGTTGTTTCCTGGTTGCTGCGTGGGGTCTGTGAGACAGCGAGACACAGAGGAACTCAGCCTGAGCACACAGACTCACAGCCACGGATGAGAAAAGATAAGGCTGAGTGAGAGTGTGTGTGTCACACCACTATGCCCGTTACGTCACTTTACTGAGGAAGAAGTTCTGGGGCAGCATAGACAGGTCTTCTCTGTTCGTTTTACTCGCTACAGGGTGTACTTTGAGGGTTTGTGACTCTGCAGACCGTTTACATGCAGAAAAAGCTACATAACACACAAGGGGACGGGTGATAACCAGAAAAGCATGACATGGGACCTTAAGAGACAATGTTTTTCGTGCTTGTGGACAAAAGATGTTAAAGATGTTCATATCATTGAATCTGAATAAATAACTGAATAAGTAATGGGCTCTTTTTTTGTTTGTTCATTTTAGTTTATTTTCAATGTCCGACATCAATTGCAATCTTCAGCATGACAATATCTCAATGTTGATTCAATGACTTTTTGCAATCTGATAATAACATTGTTTCAATGTATAATGCAATGCATAATATAGTTGAATCAATGTTGATCCAATTCTACATTCTTTCAATGTTGATCATATCGTAATTGAATCAAGGTTGATTCATTGTTGGGATTGGTTGAAAATTCAATGTTGTTTCAATGCTGATCATAACGAGCACATTCACTATTGTTTCAATGTCTGACTTCAATGTTGAACACAATCTTCAGCGTGACCATATCTCAATGTTGATTCAATGACTTTTTGCTATCTGGGTAGTGTCCTACCTGAATTATCCAGCTCTTAATACCATCATCATGACGTCACGGCTATAGAAACCATTAATATTATACAGAAACGCAGAATAACAGGGCGTTGCTTCAGGTTTCTAATGCAGCAAAAATCAATGCCGTTATTAAAGCAGGAAACCCATCTAACACAAGTCTCCTTTCACTGCAGTCACAGCTGTGCCACACACGTTGTCTCTAGCAGCAGACACATCCATTTTTACTTAACCAGTTAAACCCCACGGCAAAACGCAACATCTTGCAAGAAACAGCGTCTGAGGGCTTCTTAACATTTGACAAACTATAAATGTGTCATACTCATTTAAAGGGAAGAAACTCAGCTATCAGACAATATTAACAATATTTAGCTAAACGAAAGAAAAGGGTAATAACAAAGGCTCTGAATGAGCCCTCAGCAAAAAATGCTAACACACTTAGCATAGAACTCAAGGTAAAATACCCTTATTACCAGGGGTGCACATAACTTTTTTGCCCTGGTTCTCAAAGGAGCACCTGGAGATGTTGCTTGGTGCTCATCCTTAAAATGAAATAAACCGTAACTTTTGAGGGGGTCTTGACTTTATTTGCCAAACACACGCGCTGAACACAAATGCAGAGGTGAACACAGAACACACATGCAGAGGTTAGGACAAGACAACATTAGCACGACCAGTAATCCTACAAGCTGTCATCACTACCCTCCTCACTGTTCTCCTCACTGTCTTCCTCTCTGTCAGACATGGTAGCTGATGATGTAGGCCTACTACTTTCTCTCTGGTTGAGTCTGTGATTAGCTGCTTGCATCCACAAGTCAACAGCTGGGTTTGGGTCGAAAGTCTCTGTTGTCATCTTAGACAAGTGGATGTAATCAAATAAGTATGTGAACATAACCAATAACCTACCATAGCCAATAACAAATTAATGTAACTTATTTTATTTGTGTTGTTCATATCTTATTTTACCTTAACATTTATTTATGCATTTTTTTTATCTTTCCAGTTTTAAAGGATATTTTTGGTTACTGTCCTATAGTATACATTGGAATGATTTCAAACCTGTTTATCCCAATAATTATAAAGGAGTGCCTTGGAAATGTGTGTTTACATCAATTGTGATCAAAACGTTTGAGACCCACTGAGATAACTTAGACTAAAGTGAACTATCTAAACACTCAAGAGTCCTTTACCTCACTGAGCTGTAGTTATCAGCCTCTCAGTCTGACTGGAGAGGACTCTCCCTCTACATTATTGTAGAAACATCTTCTTCTTATATCCGTTAGAGCAGCTAGCACCAGATGCTAATAACAATAGCGCCGGAACCGGTGCACCCTCCCTCGCTCACTCGCATTTTGGCTGTGAGCTGCGGGTGCCAGATAAGCCAACATCCCCCATTTTCATCACTTACAGCGCCCATTGTACAGGGCAAATGAAAGTGTAACCGGGGTGAAAAGGGTGTTACATTTACTTAATTATGAATATTGTTACATCAAGGCCGAAAATTAGGATGAGCCCCAACGGTCAAAAATGTTTTTTTCCCTCCCAGAGCTGTCAGCGCAGCGCCTCCACAGATCTGGCGCCCAAGGCGAACATCTATAACGCCAGTGCTACGGGCCGACCCTGAGTTCATATGCAACTCGCAAATGTCTTTTTCTATCTCCTCTCTTCTCTCTCCTCTCTTCTCTCTTTTCTCTTCTCCTCTCTCTCTCTCAATGTTGGTATGCAAATGCGCCTTTTTTCAAATAACCCGGTGCTCTTTTTTTGGCGGAGGTGCGCATGCGCACCAGTTATGTGCAGCCCTGCTTATTACTTATCGGATCTGCACAAACAAGATATCGATTAGCAAGCAGAGATTCCACAGATTATTCCACAGTATCATCACTGAGCGATCAGAACTTGCGACATGTGAAGCAAAACCAGACATCACACCACGTAGCTTTGAGGAGCAAACACGGCCAATTTGTCCTACCTTTAGCTGTTTCTGATCAAAAGTTGTGTTCAATGGCATTACAACGAGAAAAATGTGTCTGTCACTTTGAAATGATTACTGATAATCCATCATTCCATTTGTATGTCAATAACGGAGATTTCATATTAGCTGCTACGATAGCCACCAGAGTGTATGACAGCTTCCGGTTCCGGGGCATTCTGGCTACGCATCACTCATTCACCAATGGGTAATGTTTAGATGGATTTGAGGAACATCCCCTTGATTCTATTGGCTCTAATGGTTCAAAAGAGATGTTAATCATCAAAATCGACCGAGAGGGGCCAGAGATATGGAAAATGCAACCAAATGACCCCAGAAGTGTTTTTTTTTTCCTAAATCTCTCTAAAAAGGTCAAATGTCACTTATTTTGCAGCAATCTTATATGTTATAGTTTGGATTCCTAAAGCTTTTAGTCTCCGATCCCATCATTCAAGGGTGGTTTTCACTATAAGTAATGTTTTTTTTATTACTATGTTCAATTTGAATTTACTTTAAAATAAAAAAATTCTATATTGATTCTGACTCTACATCCAACTCACAGGTTTATCATTGCTTTGAGAAAAAAGATTATTAATTTTCCCCTTTTAGAAGTGAAGATATAGTCATTTGTTCTGGGAATGTCATTTTCGAGCCTGAGGCCCTGAAAAACAAGCTTAGGGCTTAACAGGTTAATCAAATGACAAGAAAATATCAAAAATGTAAATAAGTCATTATAGCCTATACTCACCAATACTTTTGATTATTTGTACAAAAAAATGTATCCTCCTTTCTTTCCTGAAGAAGAGTTCAGTTACTCTGCTGTACAGATCATCTGAGTGTTTCAGTTCCAATAATAAGTCCTGTTCTATAGCCATGGAGGCTGAGGGCCAATGTATTGTTGTAGTCAGTGAGTTGGAAGTGGTGGTTAAACCTTTCCCTGGCTGCGACAGGCTTGCTAGCTTCACCAAATCAATTTATCCTCTGCTGTCAGCCATTGTCGTTTGAAAAAACTGCTTTAAAATGTAAACTCAAATATTTTACCTTGTGCAGGTTGCTAAGGACGCTACAGATGCCATTTACAATCAAAGGACGAAATGCCAACATAATCTTACGCTAGATGGCCCCAGTGTCACCAACTCGAAATCTGATTGGTCAATGCAACAGCTTCATTGCCATTTATTTTAAGCTAGAAGTGTCTGCACTCTTGGTTCCGAAGGCCTCAGGCAGATTTCTTTGACCCAGTAACACATTCTGACTTAAATATGATTGGATAAAAAAGCTCCAACATTAGCAAACATTACTGGACACAGTGCAACACAAAAAAAAGCTATTAAACTATGAAATGAAGAGAATAGACTATTATAAATAATGAT